GCCTGTCCCAAAACCTGTCACTCTTTTAACCAAACGTAATCTGAGTGTATGCACACAGCTGGTGAGATTACCACGAAATAGTTGAATTCAACACATCCTGTGATCATGATGCTTCTTCTTGCTCTCATGATATCCTTTTTATGCCTCTACCAGTACTCGATTCAATGACATAGTTGAGATATATATCCCATACCTCTGAGATCTGTTGGCAAATGAATGACTGGAAATCGGTGCTTTATTTGGTATGAGATTGTCAAATTAGCCCCCACGTACTGATTTCGATGATAAATTAGATGTATGAAACATCTCGAAAATGAACGAACTCTCAGGGAGAAAGCAAACCACACCAACACAGCCGTGTTTCCAAAGAAGAGATCACTAATCACAGTAACTGCATAGCGAAGAAAGACCAGGTATAGGTTAATACAAAGTTTGACTCAGTCTGCTTCATGGTTCAAGCAGAATAAGGTGGGACAACATGAGAAAGAAAGTCAGCAGGGTGTACGGTTATGATAAGATCAAATTAGGTAACCGGCGAATTCGGAAGTAGCACCATACCAAGATAGTACATGGTCTGGGGGTAGAAAAACAGTCCATGAAACCGGAATGCCTTAAAAACTAAGAGAGCTGCACGGCATGGGGAATACAAATAGTGGATGAATATCCCAGCAAGACGAAGATTGGGAAGTTTTTTAACTCGGGGCGGACCAGCAGTCGCAGCATCTTGACGTTAAATGACAGTTGATTGCTTCATCGTTCAAGGGAGGCAGGCATGGATCGTGGTGCTCGGGAAAGTACACCTAAAGGATCGACTAAGCTTATGAAGAATCTCAGTATAGGTGTTTGATTGGTTAGAACATAATGTGAAACATCTGACCTGAATAACTTCCCCAGTAGCCCGAAACGTCCGTTACGTCAGCTATGCAATCGTATTGGTTAATCTGGCAAAAGTACGCCAAAAGTGAATTTGAACATGCAACTCAGAAGACAAGCAGTACGAGAGGAATTCCTTTTGCATACTCTCATCACTTGTCTACGTATAACATTAAACAAGGTAACAAATGAGGTTAACAAAAAAATCTAGTTAGGTTTTGTAGTGCGTGTTTGTGTACATTTATATTGCATTGTACTTCACACACGTCTGAATCCGGAATATGTGCCAAACAAATCATAACCACAATCTTTAAAAAAAAGAGAATGTATACTTGTTCAAGATTGAGTGCAACCAGGGAAAATCAAGTGTATAGGTCATACGCTTTGGGGTTTAATGGGAACGATCGATAATGTCTCGAGTATCTCATTTCGGTATTTGTCACAATGACGTACCAAAATGGCGAACGTGTTCGTTTTCAACCAAGTGACGTGCGATGTCCCTTAGAATCGTTATTGTTCCCATCTAATATTTAATCTCTTTAACAGACTGAAGTGGCAAGTAGGTGTTTTCAGGTAGCAAAGCCTTAGAAAAAATAATAAGGTATTTAGAACGACTGCGGGTGGCAATGACATCAAATCGGAAAAGCATGACACGATTGAGAAATATGATCAATTGGGTATAACGAGACGAAATTTGTTCCGGGTCCATCATCTACGTATTTGAACTAGAAAATTATCCCCATTAAAGTTAAAATAAAGGAGATGTTCTGATCACAAATTTATTTTCCATTACATTTATAAAAAGAAAGTAATATTTCAAGAAATACTATTTATTGATTCAAAAACGGTTCACAACGAAATTCTCTATTTATTCCACAAAATTGTATCAGTTTATAACTTCCAATAGTATGTCATTTCTGCTCATCAGTAGTTGATTTCTCTGGAATCAAGCTGATATTTTCCGCGCCACTTTCATTCACATAGTCTTGTTCCTTTTTTCGATTTGCTTCCATGTAAGAGTGTACAAATTGTGACAGCTTAAATTTCCGCAGGCCGTTGACACGGGAATCCACTTCGTTTGTTTTCTGAGCCATCTTCTTTTCCATATTCTTCACCTGGAAATAAAACGTTAGGGAGCATGTTATTCCAGTGATCAGGCATGGAACTACTGGAAACCTTATTGGCCAAGCAGTTCTGATTTGCCTTAGGTGGACTCCGTTGATGGAATGCCTTCAGTCAAGTAATATGACTTGTACTTACCAGGCTACTCCATGATCGATTTTCTTCCATCAGCTGCTGCTGTCGTAGTTTTGCCTGTTTTAATTGGTTGTTCAATTGGTCAGAGTTCTCTTGAACCACACGAAGATTATCCCGTAGCTCTCGGGATGTTTTTTGTGTTTCAACCACGGTTTCTTCCAGATTACGAAGTCTAAAAAGAGTGAAACTAGAAATTAACTAGTATGGTATGCTAGTATGATATTACGGTATGCTATTACGGTGTTGTTGTTGTTGTTGTTGGTGGTTTTGTGCGATAGATGTTCGAACACATGATCAAGTGATGGTCAAAGTCAGTGATGTCAGACTCACCCAGTGGTTCTCCCGATCAAAATCCAGCGATGTCGATCACACTAACTAATACGTACACAACTGCCCTGATTTCATCTTTTGCAGTTGCAATACGCAATCACTATGTGTAATTTTCAGCATAAAGTGAAGCAGTGATAACCGGATTATTCCACGCATTTCTCAGCGTCATTGAGTTATTGACACAGACATTCCGACTGTCAAGGTTAGGAACTCCGTTTTAATTTTTTTCTAAATATGCCCTACAAGATTCATTCACTGCAACGTTTAACAAAATGCCCTACACGTTGCAAATTGTTTCACGTTAAAAATATTCAACAATTTTGCTGACCAAATCGCCAAGTGGTTTTACTGGTATCTATCTACTCCACCCAGTTCAATGATAATAGTTACCAGCCTTCTCACAGGGTGTCCATCCGACATTATATCAGAATGGTACTTGAGTGGTAAAAGATCGAAAATAGTATCTGACTAAAGAGATACGGATCACCTAACAGACCGAATGGCGATAACGAATCGAACAATTGATATGGGGTTGACGCAATCACTTATATAGCGCTAAATACCGGGCGATTCAACTGGTTGAAGCATACTGCTGAGTAGAACATTTTTCTGTGATTCATTTACACTGTAGTATGTTGATACTGAGTCAAGCTTTAGCCTAAACCCACAATGCTTTAGCCAAGACCCACAATCCTTTAGTTTTGACCCACATTACTTTAGCCAAAACCCGTAATGCGTTAGCCATTGCCGCGGTCCTTTAGCTTAGGTGCACAAACTTTGGTCACGCCGCAGTAGGTGAGTCAGATCAAAAATATCGGAATATTCTGATGCCAATGCTACCTAGCAGTAGGAGCCAAACCATCAGTTTAGGTGACATAAACAATAGAATGACCTTACGATGACCGCATTCAAAAACTGACTACTTTTGCGTAGTCCGTTCAGATGAAGTCCCATATTGTAGGTCTTATGCATGGATATCGTTTCTCAACCAAGGACACAATTTTCGTTTGTAGAAATGGGGTAAGATAGTGGTATTCAAGCTGGATCATCGAAGGACCCATTCAAATCTAACTGATTCAACGGATGTCCCAAGGAGATAATCTAACTGAAAACTAGAATAACTTCAATGTCCAACTTCCCTGGAACTACCAAACAGTGGTCTACATTTCCTTTCAAAATAACCGGATGAGTTTCCCGATATCGAATATTTTGATTTGTTGCCTTCTACTATTTCACTCAACGAACGAATAAAAATATTACCCTTGTGCTAGTTGACTAACTTAGTTGGAAATACCCCCATCATCATCAATCATTTAAAATATTTAAACGAAAGCTTGTATTGGCGGTGACCGAGTTTTAAAAAAAACACGGAGCTATGGAAGCTGCATCATGATATCGAAACGCTACTAAAAAGCACCATTGAGCTGCCGTACCACAACCGAAGGACTTTCTGAACTAGCAGGTTAAAAGATTTCAAGGGGAGGAGGGAAAAGTTTTATGAACTGTCTATTCTGAGGCATAAGAAGTACAGCCCGTGTCAACCCGCTTCTGACCATAGACAGCACCGTTTTAATAAACCACGTGAAGACAATGTAGCCCCCGTGGGGGAGAGTGGGGGGGGGAAGAGCTTAACTTGTATCTGAAATGAACTTCAAGTAATCCACGTTACACAACAACACACTGTTTTCGAAGCTGTACCTGTAACCGGATCTTCCTTGATGGTGGATATAACAAGCGTTCGTTAAACTGACGGTCTAACAGATTATCATAAGAAAATATGTCCTTACCGCCTGGGGTTTTGCAATTATGCGAATTAATCTCACTTCATTTTTTATCTTCGGAGTAATTGGAGAAATAGTTGAATAAAATTTGTTTCTTACGCTTCAGCAGAACACTACTTTGAGTTATTTCAACTGGACACATTCCACTTTCCTTGAGGAATAAGTACAGCGTCTGTTGGTTCCATAACAAGGAATCAACTGGAGGAAAACGATGTGAATAAAGAAGGATTACTAATCCTCACTACATCATCCAATTAGCATTCACGGTTATACTCGCTTATTATCTTCGATCACACCCGATAGTACTCGCACTGAGTCCGATTGTGCACTTTCCATCAGTCGTCTGGAAACTGTATAGAATGACTCTCCGGTTGGTGCCTGTTTCATTCACTCATACTCTTATATTCTCTCGTCGGCACCGGGCACCAGATCGAACCGGAGAACGCTTTCGATATTGTTTATCGTATCCCATTCAATGGATCGAAGGCGGCCCGAGTTTGGACACTAGCCATGGCCGAGGCGATCGCCATTCGCTTACTAGGCTCTAACCTATGTGCCCAGAAGCGACTGATGCAGGCGCTCCAATTACCTTGGCCGGGTGTGAAAACCAACACAGAACATGATGTGTCACTTGATCCAGATGGAGAAAGGCCACATCAACTAACACGCTAAATATTCCTACACGCACACAGACACACACCCATACACCTCTATTACTCTCTGCCTCTGATTAATAATCTTAATTGAGCCCATGGCTAGGTAAGAATTTTTTCCACTGTATGATATGTAAGAAGAACATGACTAGGAATATCCGAAAACAATCGTTCGTTCACCGTTCTCAAACGCTCATTTTCATTGGTAGATGTTTCAGAAAAAAGATACTCCGTTTAAATTTTAACGAGTTTTTATACAAATAAATTGACCGTGTTCATTTATTTCATATGGCATTATTCGTATAGTCTCTATTTCTGAGTGACGCGCATTAAATTAAAATTACTCCTTGTTTATTATTGCCTTTGAAAGAGGACATTTATTTTTCCATCTAAGGCACTTACTTAATCAACTCATCTACACGTAATGCCTGTTGTGTTTGTCGTGACTGGAGAACAGTGTTTGTTGGTTGATCACTCTGCGAGAACCATTCCTTCCAGGGACCTTCGGGGAATAAGAGAGGAGTACCACCCCAATGTTTGATGAAATTTAGGGAATGCAAATATTCCGTGTGGAAAAACTGGAAATGATTATTGAGAAGGATTTTTTCAGAGTTGATCAGTTGCAACGGAAATGTTTGTGATGACCAACAAAGAGCACTGGACAGCTGTTTCGTCCTATTTGGTACTCGACAGCAGTGCGTACGTATTGTGTCCCTATCAGGACTCGAGTCGCGAACATTTGGGTCGAGACCCCAACATTTTATCTACCACCCTGTGCGGATCAT